GTCGCCATGGTCGTGGTCGCCGACGGACGGCGTCGTCGCCGCGCCAGAGGGGCACCCGCGTCGGCGTCGTAGGCCGGCGACCTACCCCTAAAAGGGCATAGGCTTAATTAGACGACTCTCGCGCGCCAAGTCGGATCAGGCTAATGAACCTGCTGCTGCTGCTGCACGCTTAGCGAAATGGAAACATGACAAGGACGTCGTCGATCACCATCATCCATCTGGCCGTGGATTATGGAGAAAGTGAGCCGGGCGAAGGCGGAAAAGAATGGCGCACGGCGATCATGGACGGATGGATAGATAGATGGATGGTATAGATCATGGTGACGATGAATTGGTGTTGCATGCGCCAGTGGGTGAACGGGAGGAGGAGGTGGTCGATGGGGATCGCCGTCAATGGCGGTCGCTGTCGGACGGAGGGGCTGGAGACGGATGATGGGACGAGGCGGGAGGCTGCGCGCCATGTGTCGACCGGAGAAGCTGCGTGCCCAACCCCGACCTCAGCTGCGCATGCACGCACTGTGGGACACATATGTGCTTGCTTGGTTGCCAGCTAGTGACGTGAGGATGTCGCCTTCGTACGTGTACACGTGCGTATTCGTACGTGCCTCAGCTCGACACGTTTGTAAGTTCTGTACCGTGTGGTGGGGGCTGCCGTCTTTTTGGGCGCGTGGGCGTTTACATGCAGGAGTATTGTTTTTTTTTTTTGCGAATAATGCAGGAGTATTGTTGTTAGATGACTGTCGAACAAAGTTGCACTAAACCTGCGGCAATTAATTTGGATCGTATGGAGTAGAAAAATACAGTCACATGAATAACTATTTTTGCAACAGTAGCTGAAATAAATATTTAAGTTGAGCATTAAAATTTTAACTTATTCCAATTGTGCGTTCATGAAATATGAATTTATGAAATCGTATCTTTTTCTGGAATATAGTTACTATCACTTTTTTGAAAAAAGTGAAATCTTTTTGGAATAAATGAAGTGTAATCAACCGGTGTCATTGGTGATACTAGACCACCAATATATCCACCGTTCCTTGTTCCTCTTTCTATTCGACTGCCAACGAGAGTGACATGTGCTTAAGACCGCAAATCACTTGCACGGGACACTCGCATCACAGATACCTGTTTATGTACGCTAGCTGCATTGTCAAGCATTTAATACCGTACGAATTTTGAAGGAGAATTTTAGTTTTTCAAGTTGAATTCTATACAATGTCCTCCTTCTTCTCCTCCTTTTCTTCTACCCGGCCGCTCCCATCCAAAAGAAGTGTAACTAAAACCAAAACACTTAATTTTGGATTGGAGGGAGAATCAATTTTCAAGGGGAACTTTATCTTTTAAGGTGAAGTAATAGCGAGGACACTCCAAAGATCTATACGCCCACATAGAGAACTGTAATATATACTAATCAAGGATAATAGTGCTAACTAAACATCAAAGTGATGATAGCTAGCACTATTATCACATTTTAGGAAATGCAAAATCTTTTTGGAATAGTTCAAAAATAATTTTGAAATAGTTAAACCCTTATTTTGAACAATGAAATGCCTAAAACCAAACATTAAAAAAGATATCAGGAAAAGGTGTTTTCGAAATTGTTGACTTTTTGAGATATTTATTTTAGTTTTTTATAAATAGTCAGCAATAATTATTTTTAGTGGTGGATAAAATAATTATTTAGAATTTTGAAATCTTGAAATTATTTGTGATTCTGTCCAAAATGAATTAATATAATGTTATTCAGTATTTCTGATATATGAAATACCCCAAAAAAATATTTATTACTTAACAAAAATACAAAGCTTTTCGGCGGTCACCCTATAGAAAGCTTTCTAGAGGTACTTTTAGACAAGTCCAACTTTTTAGTTTTTTAACTGGCCCTATTCCACTTGTATTCTCTTTTTTATGAATTTCTAGTTTTGGACTGGTACCTCAGAAAACACGTTTGGTGCTTGAGCTTGGTTGTTTTGAAAAATTGAAACTTCGCATTTCACAATCTCCAAAAATTCTGGAAAAAATTACCCACTAACGATAGATGTATACTACATGTGTGCAAAATTTCATGAGAAAATACATTGACATGCAAGCTACACAAAGATTTTAAAATCATTGATTTTATTTGTAGTGAGCATTACACACAGATCACTGTTTCAAAATCGGTATTTGTCATTTTTGTGTAGCTCGCGTCGCATGTCAATGTATTTTCTCATGAAAATTTTCGCACATATATTATACATCCATATATTGTGTAATTTTTCTCAAATTATGTTTTTAATTTTTAACTATTTTAAAGAAAAACAACTTATATGGGAGAGAGAGGAGCCACATGGTGGGTCCTTAGACCTCTCTCATCTTGTTGTTTTGCTTACGGACATATCACTGTATATATGCATATCTATAGTGGTGTATGTAATTAACCCGACATGTATATAATGGGTGACATGCACATGGTAGAAACTGGTTAGACATATCGCTTAGAAAGAAAAAAATATAATAACCTTTTCACGCGTAACCGATTTATGGGTGCGTGCATATCACTAGATGCAGTGTCCCGGGACACCCCCTCCCTTTCAGGAAAATAGTTTACTCTTTGGCATCGATAGCTCAGTTATATTGATTATATGAAACTTCATAAAGTATAATACTGAGTTACCGACGTCCAAAAGCACACATATCTTTGAATCATTGTTTGTGGTAGTTCAGGAGCTAATGCAATGATCATTACGTGGCCTAGTGTCACTTGTTAGCCACGCTAGTGCATACGTGGTCCATATGAAAAGCTTACCGGCCAACAATACTTACATGTGTAATGCAGCACCGAGTGTTGTTGTTGTTTAACTATTACAAGTGTAAGAATTTTCTGAGGATTCGACAATAGTATTTGATTAATTGACAATCTTGTTTTGCCCATTCGAATGAATATACACAACATACCCATGTTATGATACTCTCTCCGCCCCAAAGTAGTGTCTGAGACACTTATTTTGGAAAGGAGGGAGTATATAACTACTACCCTAACTTATTTTTCTCACTATGTAATGCAAACATGTATGGAAAAAGGTTCCTCCGTTCTCATTATATTATGCTACTTACATTAATAAGTATTTTACAACTATATAATAGCCCCGCAATAAGCTATGCATTTTTAGTTTCAGTTATCGTATTATTAATACGAATATGCATGTTCTACATAATTAGTTTCATTGAAATAATACTAAAATAAATTATGACGCAATGCGCGGGTATCTTCTACTCCCTCCGTAAGACGTTTTTTGACACTAGTGTAGTGTCAAAAATGTCTTACGTTGTGGGACGGAGGGAGTAGTATATTATATGTATAGTTACATTGACCATAAACTTGTTGGACATAAACAGGGATCAATGACAAGGGGGCCAGTATGGGTATAACACATGATTAGTAAGTATATATGATGTTACAACAACCCTACTAGCTAGCTAGCTATCATCAGTTTTGTTTGAATGATTGATCTTTCAATTAATTGACTAGTATATTTTAACTACGAGACCCGTTTAATAACTACAACTAGTTCCTCCCTTGCAACATAATTAACAGTGACTGTACTACTGAGAATTAATTCGGTCAAGGTAGCTGCAAATTGCAAGCTAGCCGCAAAGCAGCCACTCTTCTCGCTTAATCTAGAACCTAGATGCAGCACAAGGATTAATCGATCAGCTGCAAGTATTTGACCACATGTCATGCATGCAACTGTGGCAACATCATGCAAGGCTGTCTAAGCTAAGACACCTAGCTCTCTTTGGGTTGAAAATTTTCACCGGCCAAAGCAAGGCGGCCGTGAGTGTTAGGTCAAGAATCATTAGGTTTTAGGAATATTTAACATGATTATCCATCCTAGGGATGGAGCTACACAAGCAAGCACGCCCACCTAATGTTTGCTTACTTCTCAGGGCGCTGTCTCCAAAGTTTGGTGTTTCACAGGACTGGCTTTTTTGGGGAGAGAAAGTACACAAAGCTATGTGTATGCTCGGTGAGCTGAAGTCTCCTTGATTGATTGCTTATTCTTTGCTTCAAGTAGACTTGGTGTGGCCACATAACTCCAGCCCAAAATCGGCACAAAAGGCAACAAAATAATACTACAAGTTGTTTTTTGTTTCTTTGCTTTTCTTTTCTGCAAGCAAAGACAACAAAAGAATTATTCTGATGGAATAAAAAGGCTAGCTAGGTGTGCATATATATACTTATTGATTACTGAGGTGTTCTACCAGAGGAAGGATAAAGAGGCATCAATGTACATATGGTGTACATGTCTATAATTTGGGTTTGATCTTATCACAAAAGGCTAGCTATTCCTTCTAGAATTTATATTCTGCTTTATTTATCTTTGTTTCTTAGTGCAAAAGGAGGTGGTGGTTCACAATGCACATATGTGTACATCCAACAATTTGCCCATCCCCTCCCTCTCTCGTCTAATCCTAATAGTGCAAGGGTGACAAATTGTTCAGTCAAACACGCTTCATGTAGGAAAGAATCTAAACATCACTAGGCCACTATTTCTTCCCACGAAGCCTCTCTCTCTCTCTCTCTCATCCCCATTAAAAACGAAAGAAGCTTTGAAACATCTCACCAGCTTTTGATTTCCAACTACACACTTGCCCTGCTTCTATCTTCCTCCCAAGAACCAGACTGCCAAAGTCCTTGAGCCTTTGGAGGAGCATGCATGCAGTTGCCCTAAAAAAAGATCATCCTCCATATGATTGCCACAAGTCCTTATAAAAGGGTAGCTAGCCACCAATAACTTGTCTCTGCAGCTAGGCCCTCTTCTCATCTCATCTCCTTCCTCCTAAATCCTAACCCCCTACACACACAGTACACTCCAGCACTCTGAGCTAGTAGTAGTAGTACTTGTGCATGGTCATATCCAAGCCCATCTATCTATAAGGTAAGGGAGCTACCTAGCTGTGCCCTCAGAAGGGTTCATCGATCATACTCATATATAGTAGCTACGAGGTGACCAACAATGTCACGGAGGAAAGGAGCAGCAGCAGGAGGAGGAGGAGCTGGGCCCATGGCGATGGCGGCCATGGAGGAGGAGGCAGCCGAGCTGAGGAGAGGCCCCTGGACGCTGGAGGAAGACAACCTCCTCATGAGCTACATTGCTTGCCACGGCGAGGGCCGCTGGAACCTCCTCGCCCGCTGCTCCGGTGAGTTGATCTCCCGCCATAGCTCTCTGGCCTTGCATCATGCATGCATGTCGATCGCCATGAATATTTTCTTGCTGCTGTATATATCTTTGCCATGTCAGGGTTGAAGAGGACGGGGAAGAGCTGCCGCCTCCGGTGGCTGAACTACCTGAAGCCGGACATAAAGCGGGGGAACCTGACGGCGGAGGAGCAGCTGGTCATCCTGGAGCTCCACGCCAAGTGGGGCAACCGGTGGTCGCGGATCGCGCAGCACCTCCCCGGCCGCACCGACAACGAGATCAAGAACTACTGGCGGACCAGGGTGCAGAAGCAGGCGAGGCAGCTCAAGGTGGACGCCAACTCCGCCGTCTTCCGCGACGCCGTCCGCTGCTACTGGATGCCGCGCCTCCTCGACAAGATGTCCATGGCCGCCGCTTCCACGGCCGCGCCGCCGCCGCTGATGGAGCAGCACGGCCAGGGCGTCCTGTCCTCCTCGCAGTCGCCGCCGATCGGCAGCGACCAGCTCTGCTGCTACGGGCCTGCCGCCGCCGGCTTCGACCCGAGCCCGAGCGCGTCCACGTCGGGGTCGACGGCGGCGGCCGCGCTCCAACCGGCGCCGGTGCCCTGCTTCTCCGAACTCAACTGGGAGGACCAGTACTGCTACCCGAGCGGAGGCGACCTCGACGGCGGCGCCGGCGGGATGGAGCTGGACTCGGCGGCGCTGCTGGGAAGCCTCGGCCTCGACGGGCTGGACCTAGGGCCGGCAGAGTCGTACCTCCCGGACGCCACGCTCCTCGACTACCTCAACTACTCGAGCTGCACCGCCAACGCCGCCATGAACATGATGGCGATGAACGGCGGCAGCTACAACAACAACAGCTACTGTGGCGGCGGCGGCGCCATGGTCGACGGCGATCACCACGACACGACGACGGCGGCGACGACGTGCCACGCGGCGAGGAAGCTGGCGGGCGAGTGGGGAGGAGGAATCTAGAAAATTCTAGCTAGCTAGCTAGTGATTAATTAAGCTAAAATTAAGCCCAGCCAAGTGGATGGATGGATGGATGGCACTCTCCTACTCCTAGCTAGCTACGTTGCTTCTTGCAACGTCTCTCTAGCTATATTAAAGCCAGATGTCACATTGGCTAATGGAGCTCATCATCATCAGCATCGACCATGTAGCTAGTAGTGAAGTTGCCGATTGATCGAGATTGCTAGCTCTAGCTCTTTTTTACTCGTTGATTCTAGTGTAGTCGATGTGGTGCATGCATGATCAATGAGGTGTAACCTTTTAGATCTACTAGTAACTACGTACGTGTGTGTGTGTGTGTGTGTGTGCTCTTTCTTACTTCCATCTTTCTCATGCTACTTGTTTGTTGGTGTGTGTGAGTGGTCGTTGCCTCCAAGTGATATCGTTTGTGTTGGTGAGGAGGTGGTGCACTTGTGAGACATATGGCTCATCAGCTTGGCAATGACATATTGACATGTCGCTCTAAGGGGGGGCTTCCCAGGGCTTTTGAAACTATTGCATGATCATAACAAGAGATGATCGATTGTCGTCGGGGGGATGATAGATGCGTTCACCGTCATAATTCGCCACAGGTACTGGCTAGGTATGGACACTCCCTCGAACAAATCTCTAAAAGTTGTGACTTTGGACAATATTTGGGTGTAAGACCCAACTTTTCGTCACCCTCTCCCGAGGGCAGCTGGAACCCTAGCCACCCACCCCTATCATCCTATTGCCGCCTCCCCGAGATGGTTGTCGAGCAAGCATGTATTGTTGGGGGAGGGGCTCCTTGGTTGAAGGAAGCAAGGTGGACGTGGTGTCATCACCCAAATCCAGATATGGAGGGCCCTAATCCAATCATGGAGGCACCCTTCATCGGCGATGCCCATGGACGCTCTTCTGAAAAGGCATCTTCATCCAAGTGGATTTTCCTGTGTGTAGCAAGTGATTAGGGGACTAACGATATACATAATTTAGAAAGTGAGCCTAGATCACTTATTTTGCAAAAATGCTACACCTACGTAATGTTTTACGAAGCCTTACGTAAATCCTTTGATCGCTAACTAAGGCCCAATATAAAACAGCCACCTCAGATCGTACGTAAGTTACGTAGAAGTTGTTACGTAGGTGTAGCTTTACTCCTTATTTTGGGGGTGGATATACAAATCCTGGCACCTGGTTTCAAATTTCACCAAGAAAGCATTTTTGGGTTCCCATTTATAGTGTAGGGGTGTCCCTTATAACCTTGTTTCGTACAAAAAAATGTTATACATGAATTGTATGAGCAGGTTTTACACTCATGGAAAAGCAAGAAAGCTAGTCAGATCCCCCCTAAGCAAATATAGGGAAAAGAAGAAGTTTTATTTAAATTTGCGCAGTGTTTTCTCTCTCTATGCGACTATGTGTTTCGGAAAAGATATTTGGTGAACGTTCGCTGGGGATGGGATCCCAGCGAACGCCCTAGAGCCATCTGATCAAGATCGAACGGTGGCAGTTTTCTCCCCCAAGCTCCCGCAATTTAAACAAACTGCCATGACAGTTTTGCAAAAATGCCAATAGCCAGAGATTGTTCGCCAACAAGGATGGCATTTGCAAGCGACGCGGCTGACAGTTTGTGAAGGAGGGCATGCTGGAACCCTAGCCACCCACCCCTATCATCCTATTACCGCCTTCCCGAGATGGTTGTCGAGCAAGTATGTGTTGTTGGTGGAGGGGCTCCTTCGTTGAAGGAAGCAAGGTGGAAGGGGCCCAGTCGTCGCCTAAATCCAGATATGGAGGGCCCTAATCCAATCATGGAGGCACCCTTCATCGGCGATGCCCATGGACGCTCTTTGAAAAGACATCTTCACCCAAGTGGATTTTCCTGTGTGTAGCAAGTGATTAGGGGACTAACGATATACATGATTTAGAAAGTGAGCCTAGATCACTTATTTTGGGGGTGGATATACAAATCCTGGCACCTGGTTTCAAATTTCACCAAGAAAGCATTTTTGGGTTCCCATTTATAGTGTAGGGGTATCCCTTATAACATTGTTTCGTACAAAAAAATGTTATACATGAATTGTATGAGCGGGTTTTACACTCATGGAAAAGCAAGAAAGCTAGCCAACTCCCCCCTAAGCAAATATAGGGAAAAGAAGAAGTTTTATTTAAATTTACACAGTGTTTTCTCTCTCTATGTGACTATGTGTTTCGGAAAAGATATTTGGTGAACGTTCGCTGGGGATGGGATCCCAGCGAACGCCCTAGAGCCATCTGATCAAGATCAAACGGTGGCAGTTTTCTCCCCCAAGCTCCCGCAATTTAAACAAACTGCCATGACAGTTTTGCAAAAATGCCACCCCCCCCCCCTTCACAAACTGTCAGCCGCGTCGCTTGCAAATGCCATCCTTGTTGGCGAACGATCTCTGGCTATTGGCGTCCATTATGTTTATGTTAGAGATAAGGAGGTAGAGTTAGAATATGTTTAAACCACATGTAACTTGTCTTGTACTCCAAGTCTCCATCCTACCGTGTACTCCATATATACCACATATGAGGGTTATATCAGTATAATAGAAATATTAGCCTATTAATAATTCTCACATGCTTGTGGCATATGAATGTTGTACTACCAAGGAGTTTGGATGAAAGCTAATGAGTTGGACCAGTGTCTAATCATGTCTCATGATACTCAAAATTCTTAAAGAAACATCCACTAAATTGTACCTCAAGGAAATGTTGGTTGTGTTGTCTTTGAGCCGTGGTGGAAACCATAAGGCTTTGAGACGTACTCCAGACTATCCAATTTGGCTACTAAATACCTTAAAATATTAGCCAGATGCGCCCGAAACTCCAGACCCTTGAGTGATCCCTAAGGCTACAGACTTATTTTGGGACATCTAGTTTCATTACTAGTGAGGACGAAATAATGCATGGAACACTCTACTTCACTTGGAGGATCGACTTCTAGATGTGAGATTTCCGCCATTAAAAGAGTTTGAAGCTCCTCTCCCCGCCCCCCATTCTTCCATCAAACCGGGGGAAAGTGGGACTAGTACCTAGACCAAAGAGCAATGTAGAAAAACTAGAACCCCCCTTCCATTTCTTCATCAAGCTTGTTACTTGTGGAATTTTTTGGGACTCCTAGACGGATGGAGTCACCTGGGAGCATCCTATATTTAGTATTCGTCTCGAGAAGTTTGTGAATGCGGAGAACACCTCAAGATCTACCCTTATTTGTTGTGATCATTGAGATTTAGTATCCAAACCTCTCCAACAGAGACGTAGAATTTGACAAGGATTTGAAAACCGGGCATAACCTCATCGTCATTGTACTTCCCTTTAGCTATTTCTACACTTGTGCCCTACTTACTTTCCCTGTGTTAAGATTTTCTTATTTATCTTGTTAATCACTTTGCTATATCATCTACGGTTGTTTCACATAGAGTTGTGCTTTCGTGAACACTTTACATATGAGTGTCGCTAACATTAGTTAATTAATAACAATTTGTAGTGTTTATGCACCAACCCTCTTTTCCCGATCCTTTAATTCCCCCTTTTGATGTTGTAGTGGCTCCACCTCTTTCCCCATTCAAGATATGAGTTAAAACCCTATAGTTCAATCTACGAGACGACATGGTGGCGGTGGTGGTGTTGCACATCATGAACTCCTTTGATGCCTCCACGTTCTTGGGAACTATGATCCAACATGGGGTTTTTCATGACACAATCGGCAAGGTGGATGGTGTGTAGTTATGCCATGGTCGGTGATATGAGTGGAAGCTACTTGCTTTATGTGTTGCCATGGGTAAGCGTCGTGGTCCTGGACATTCTGTTTACCGATAGGTTCAACGCTCATCGGTTGGGAGCGAGATGGTTGGGGAGCCTCTCTAGCAAGGTCCTTGTTGAGCAGTGCCATGGCATGATCTTGCAGGTTGGGAGTCTTTTTCTTAGGATTGGGAGTCTCTTTTTTTGCGGATTGGGAGTCGTGGGCATGCTTCTCTTTGTTTTCTTTGTTTACTCCAAGGTCTAGTTCTTTTTCATATGTTGTCATCAATGACATCAAAGCTAGTTTCACATGTGTTCTCCAAAACCTACGCAGTAGTACTTTCTAACTAACTAATTAATATGGCATTGCTCAATTTAATTCAATACAAGCTTTATCTTTAATTATGTGTGTGAATGTACTACTAAATATTTACCTTTTTATTTTTAGTTGTGCATGTAAGACACTCCATCCAATCACAAAAAAAAGAAGTTTTGGACAAACACAATTTTAGTTATTCAGATTGGATATTTGAAAATCACATGTAAATATCTCTATCAATTTGTTTTGCCAAAATCTGAGGATTTTCTTGGTTTATGACAATTGAAATTAGTGGTTAAAGCTACATCTTGAAGACTATGTCAATGATGCCACTTACTTGTAATATGGAGGTAGCTAGTAGCCAGGACCTTATCAAAGGTGGCTGAGAAAATGACAAAACGATAGTGCAAATTGTACTTGTTGAGGCAAATGCCAAACGTAGTCTGAATGGGAAAATGATGTGTCATGTCATCGCATCAAATCTGATGGGAGAGAGAACAATCTTTGCATTCGTAACCATCCATTTGTCCTTTATTATTAATCGTGTTCTCTATGGATGGAGAAGGAAATCATGCATGGCCAGCAATATGCAGAAAAGATGACTTGATAACACTCATGCAGCTTTCAAGGACACTGTGCCAGTGGACTTCCTCTTAAAGAAAGTGGGGTATGGCATATCTGATAGTGAATGACAAGAACTAAAGTTCTTCCTTCAAAGGAAGAGTGTTGTGATCCAATGGGAAACGTTCCTTACAACAAAGAAGTAGTCTTAAAGGCATTATTCCTTTTTTTCTTTTCTTTTCGAGGGAACTGCAGCAAAAGTTTATGCTTTATTTTTTTTATTGAAAGCTAGAAGTTATGTAGAAATAGAGATACCGAGGAAATGGCATCTTCCTTGTTGTGAAGGCTAGAGATA